ATTTAAAAAATAGTTGCAAAAAGGAGAATAGTGTAGAAAGAGAAAATTGCTAATTAGTTTTAGTTAAAAATTCTTCTGATTTGAAACCATCTTGCTATGGTTTCGCTAGCTAGCTTGGTGCAGCCCCGGTACGGACAATAGCTTTAACTAGTGAGGCAGACCGCACTTGGACACCTGTAGAGGAAGCCAAGTGATATCGGATCTATAATTTAGATAGTATTAATATATTACATTAGCTTTGGTCTAATAAAGATACCGGCGAGGCTGCCGATAATTGAAAAAAAAAAATTTACTATTATAGTAATTCAAAAGCCTCTATAGTGATTTTATATTAAAGGTTTTTTGTTCCTCAATTAGAAATTAGTACTATATTTATATCTCAATACTAGAAAGATAATCGTAAATATAAATTTTGAAAGTATCCAGTAATAACTTCTAATAATTAGACAAAAAATCTTAACTTATTGACACGCATTAATGGCACTTTAAATAGTTAGATATCAAGACAATAACAATTTCCATAACGTAATATAAAAAATTATTCTAAATAGACTAAGCAATACTGTATTAATAAATAATTTTGAAGAGTATACTACAATAATTATTTAATATAGTAAGTAAAGAACCTCTTATTGTTTAGTCATTGCTAACTAGAAATATAAATCATTAGACTAAAAAATGCTCTCTATGTATTATATTAAATAATTACTGTTATACATTCTCTAAATTAATTTATACTTTCTATATTCGTATCAACAAAGCTAAAAAAATATAATACTGGCCAAAATAATAATTAGCATTAATCGTGATGACAGATCTCAGAATTTGAATAATAAGAATCTAACAAAACTCCTCAAGTTTTTTTTTTGTAGTATACTTAACTAATTTTAGATAAAGAAATGAAAATATTGATTTTTTTATATGGAATTATTGTTTGATATAGATCTATTATTAATAATTACATATAATAAAAGGTTTAATTAAAAATTCTATAAATCTGAATCTTGTAATTGCAGATGTTATTATAATAACATTTGCAATTGCAGATATTATTATAATAACATTTGCAATATTGAGATTTAAACACTTATTATTGTATGATTTAAAATAGAAATTTGGTCTAAAGCAACTGTATTGCATAATAAATTACCTGATAATTCAGATAATTTGAAAATACTGAGTAGGAATTTTATTAAAATCTAATTTCTATTTTAAAATTGTAAAAATTATATAAAGTTAATTACTTTTTATTAATTTTACCTATATTCAATATCATGTTCTGAACCTTTATAATCATGTTGATATCACCTTATCTAATTTCTAATTCTTTTGAAGAATTCTTCTATGAAAATGCCCAATGTTCTCTTCAAAAAACAGAAAAATGTGTTGAATCTAATAATATCAAAGAAAAACAAGTGAAAAAATAAAAATTTGAATTAGTTCATAAGCATCTCGATAAACTTAGTAGTGAATTCAAAATTTTTAAGTTCTGCAAGAGATATAAAGATGAATTGGAGAAGAA